AAAGAGTGGTTAAACATTGGCACAGGCTGCCCAGGGAAGTGGTTGAGTCCCCATCCCTGGAGGTATTTAAAAGACGTGTAGATGAGGTGCTTAGGGACATGGTTTAGTGGGCATGGTGGTGTTGGGTTGACGGTTGGACTCGATCTTAGAGGTCTTTTCCAACCTTAATGATTCTATGATTCTTGCATGCAGAGGGAGTTGGCCAATGTCATTGCAAGGCTGAGCTCTGTCATCTTTGAAAGATCATGGTGATCGGGGGAGGATCCTAGTGACTGCAAAAAGGCAAACATTGCACCTGCCTTCAAGAGGACAAAAAGCAGGATGTAGGGAACTAGAGACTAAGCAGCCTCACCTCCCTGGAAAGGTTATGGAGCAAATCTTACTCAAAGCCATTTCCAGGGACATGAAGGATACAATGACTTGGAACAGCCAGCACGGATTTACTGAGGGGAGATCATGCTTGATCATCCATGTTGCCTTCTGCAATGAGATGACTGGCTGTGTGGATAAAGGGCAGAGCAGTGGATGTTGTGTGCCTTTAGCAAGGCCTTTGATATAGTCTCTTGTGGTATCCTGATAGCCTAACTGTGGGGGGATATGGGCTGGAGAAGTGGAGAAAAATGTGGGTGGAAAATTCTCTGGGCCTTTGGGCTCAAAGGATGATAGTAATGCAGATTCCAGCTGGTGCCCCTCAGGGATTGGTACTGGGCTCAATACTGTTTAATGTCCTTATTAACAACCTGGATGATGGAATTGAATGTGCTCTCGGCAAGTTTGCAGACAGTACCAAATTAGAGTGGTTGACATCTCAGAGGGCAGGGCTGCTGTTCAAGAGAACTAGACAGGTTGGAGAAATGTGCTGCCAGAAATCTCACGAAGCTCAACAAAGGCAAATGGAAAGTCTGTTGTCTTACAGGATAACCACGTACAGCATCCAGGCTGGGGACTGGCTGGCTGGGTAGAAAGCAGTTTTGCAGAAAAGGACCTGGGGATCCTGGTAGACAGCCAATCATGTATTGAGCTGTAATAGCAAGGGTGTAGCCAGCCGGTCAAGAGAAGTGGTCGTTCCCCTCTATCTGGCACATTTGGTACTGCAGCTGCAGGACCATGTCCAGTTTTGACTCCCCAAAATACCGGAGTACTGCAGCGGGGGTACCGAGAAGGTTGGGGGCTGAAACACATGACCTATGAGGAGAGGATGAGGGAGCTTGGCTTCAGCCAGAAAGAGAGACATTGAAGGGGAGATCCTATTGCTTTCTACAGCTATCTAGTGGTAGAATGTAGAGAAGATGGAGCCAGCTCTTCTCAGTGGATCCACACAGGAATGACAAGAGTCAACAGGCCAGGAACCTGGGAAATTCTGACTTGTGATAAAGTACTTTTTCTACTATCAAGAGCGGTCAAACACTGGAACAAAGACCCTGAAAGACAGTGGAATCTCCATCATTGGAGACGGTGGGAGCTCAACTGGACAAGCCTCTGAGCAATCCGCTCTACCTGTTTCTGCTTTGGGCAGGAGCTTGGACAGGACGACCTCTGGAAGGCCCTTTCAACCTGTATGATTCTGTGATTCTGTTTTAGTAATGGTGTTTTACTGACTCCTGACTGCTGCATCTATAAATTAATAAGCAATAGTAAAACACGCTAACCCTTGGAAAAGTAGTGACATGGGGACCTTAACTTTTTTTATTAAAACCAAAAAAATAAGAAAATGAGCTTTCAATTAAAAAGCAGGGAGGAGGGCTTACCTTGAAAGCCAAAAGGTCTATTAATACGCCTTCAGTTATGAAAAAGCCAATTACTTGGATTTTCAGATTTCTTTTGAAGAGCAGCTGCATAGTTATATTACAGGAATTAATTCAGTGTTGCTTTGGCCTTTCCTTGATTCAGCAACGTACTGCTTTGAAAGACTCCAAGATGAATAATGAAAGTAGTGATGCAAAGAGGCAATTGCTAGATCAAATCGAGAGGTATTTGCAAAGCTTAGATTTGAGGTGCCATATGAGTGCTGACATTCATGCATGTTCTGATTTATACAGTATTGACAGAGTACTTTGAAGATTAATATGCTCACATTGCTAATTTTATTCTTGTAAGGCCTTTTATAAAGTTGTGTTGGGTTTTTTTTTTTGCATTGTACTCATTACCGTAATATGTTGCTTGGGTCTTGTATTCAGAGATCCATCCTAGTTAAAACACTAGGTCGTGTAAGAGTATTTCAGCCTTTAAGCAAGCAGGTCTCTGACCCTTTAATGGCTGTGGGTTTTTGGGAGGAGGAAGGTTCTGCATCAGGTAAAAATCAGACTTCTGATGGATTAAAATCTTTTCAGTCTCTTATTTTACTATTATTTGTCATCAGTGAGCCTGGATGTTTCCCTTCAGGTGCTTAAACAGTCCTCTTGTGGTTTTGTTTTCACATCTAGTGCAGAGAGAGAGAAAAGGGGTTGTTTTGGTGGTTTTGGTTGTTTGGGTTTTTCTAATTTGTGCTGTGAATTACTGTGCTGTTCACTGTGTTTCTTCACCAGTGTATTGAGACGTACTGTTACCCTTCTTACTCAGTTGGCAAAAGGGATGGCATCTCATGCAGCTCTGGAAACACAAGTAAATGATGCTACTGAAGCAGCCAAAAAATACATGGCCGAGAATGAAAGGCTGCAGGAGGTATCTTGCAACTTTTTTAGTTATTTTCTTATACAGCAAGTAGTACAAAATACTATGGGGATAGTTTGCTACTGAGTAATGTCCGTTCATTTGTTTTCTTCTGGTGGAAAAAGGAAGAACAAAGTTCTTACAATATGTAACTCAGAATACTGAATACAAATTTCAGTAGCATTTTATTAACAAAGGAAACTAAAGTAATCCAAATAAATGTTCTGTCTTTCCAGTACAAATTTCATCAAAGTAGTAATATATTCTTAAAATATCTCTTTGAATTTAATCATAGCAAAGTAAAGGGAGACACTAATTTTATTCTTTTTATCCTAAACAGTTGGCTCTTTAGGTCAGGGCTATAGCAGTCCAGTATGGAAAAGCCTACAATATAGCTGTTCTCGTGCTGGCTGTTTCTTCTAAATAAGATTTGCTCCAGTCCTGAAATGTCTTTTCTAATTTGTAAAATTGGTCTTTTGTATTTATTGTATTTTGTATTCTTGCATCTGTTTTTATGGTGGGTCAGCCAATCTCCTAATACCTTCCTTTCTCAGTAGGGCACTGCCATAGTACTAATGAGGATATTACCAAAAACTTCTTCGTTAAAATAACCACCAATGGACCAAAGACATGTTGTTTTTATGAGAAGAATGGAGAAAATTAAGCTATCATTTGTCTGTTGTGGTTCAATATACAGTTGTATGCAGGAAGGGAAGTCAGCAAAGATAATAAAGATAAATTTATGAAATCTTTTCTCATAATTTGTTGGTTTGACTTCTGTTGGGAGAGGTTGAACCGTAAGTTAGAGTGCAGATATCCATGGTATCAAGACTTCTACAGCGTTCTTCAGTCTGGCACATTGTCAAAACAAAATTCACTGCAGGTGTGTACAGGTTTCCTTCCAGTTTGGAGCAATGTCTGTGGTTACCAGCACTGTAATTTTTTTGTAATAAATCTTCAGACAAAGAGAACAGACTCTGCACAAAAAGTACTAGAAGGGATGCAGAAAAATCCCGTTGTTTGAGAGGTGTCGTAAAACAAGGATCAATAGAGTGTGTGTTAGGTATTTTCCAAGTACGAAACGATTCCAGAATTTTTGGATTTAGTATTTTGTCAAAATGATCCAGACTCCCTCCCTCAGCCATGGAATTTGTCTCTTTACTGCATACTGGTACTCCCCCACCACCACCCCCCTCTGTCCTCTTGGGATTTGGCCAAAAGTCCTCTTTTTGTTCTGCTTTCACATTCTCTTAGCAACACATTCTCTTAGCTGCTTGTAAGTGATAGCCAGAAACTGGAAACTGTATTCCTGTGTGTTTGATTGCATGGTTTGCAAAAACAGTGGTAGCCACACCTACAGCCAACATGCTGTGGCTGGATCTCCATTGTGCTGGAGGTGCAAAGTGTTCAGAATTGGTTTATTTTAACTTTATAGAGATACTATGACTTAGGTTCCTCTGTGGCTTGGCCCCTGCATTTGTGTTCATTTACAAGCGTGCTTCATTCCACCATGAGAGGGAGGCAAGAACAATTGCATATAGGGCACTGGCTGTAAGTATAAATACTGTAAGTTTACTCCAGTGTGCTAGGTCTGCACTGTCTCCTGTTCAGAGGTTCCATGGAGCACAGGATTTTAAGATAAAAGTTTACAGAAATAACTAATAGAAAGAGGGGAGCACAAAGTAAAGGAGGCAATCTGTGGCCAATTTAATGACAAATTGGCTATGGTTTTGTTACCAGCAGTCAAATGCAATCTCTGCTCTTTGGTTAAATTTTCTTCAGCTCTTTTCTTTGGATTGTTTACCAGTCTTTATAAACAGTTCTTCTTCCTAAAGTAATCTTTCCTCTCTGTTCCCACCTGTGCCCAGTAAGCTCTGATGAGTTCACCTAACAGCTGTTCGTCTCAGTTGTTCTACTTTTCTTTTTCCCATTAAGTGTTTACCACTTCTTTTGCCATTTCCATAACAGAGATGATGCTTGGTTGAATAATAGAGGCTATATGAGCAAAGGGTCTAATTATGGGGTCTAATCCTTAACTTACGATACTTTAAGTCATCCATAGCAATTGCCTTAATGATAAGAGTGTGCATAAGTATAGTAGTGCCAACATTTTCAGAGTACAGGGAGTATACTGCTCTTGTGTTTAGTCCTTACAGGGCTCTTCCTGAATCCTTTCTTAGATTTTCTTTAATTTCAGTGGGAATCTAATCTGGGTATTGAAGTATTCTGAAGATTGAAGAAGTAGCTGCAAACCTACAAGGAGAGATTTGTGATGTATTACATGATTTAAATAAGAATAAATTATTAGAACAAGTTGCACATAAACATGGCAGTGTTCTGTCACTTGCAGTCCCAGTGTAAGTCTTCTGGAAAAGCCATTTATAACCTAAACAGAAGTTGTGGGCCTGATGCAGAGATACAAAGTACTCTTACACAGGAGATAATACCATACTATTACAAGTATGCCATTACTATCAACTTAAAACATTGAACCTTTTTTGTGTGTGTTTGGGTTTTTTTTTTTTGTTTTTCCCCCCTAGAATGACTGAGTATCTGCCTGTGTCACGTTGGCACTTGATAAAACCTGTCACTTTGCATGATCAAGGCTGACATTCTCTGGCTGTTTGGCATTAATGTCAGACTAATGAAAACAAAATTAATTGTAGCAACTGTGGGTTTTAATAGGCCTTGAGTGAAAAAGGGAGCAGTAAAAAGAAAGAGTCAGCGGAAGCAACTGATGAAAAGTTGAAGGAGGAAGTTGAACATTTGAAAGCAGAGCTACAGAAGACATCAAATGGTAAGTATGGGTTAGGACTTCTTTGCAATTAAGAAAAAGATGATTTCAACACTGGATGTCAAAAAATTTATTCTAAGTATAGCATTAACTACAGCAGTTTACAGAACACTTGGGTTGTGGTTTCTTTACATTTGACTAGGAACTGGAAAAACATGCCATTGCCATCCCCATATTGTAGTAAATGTTTTCATTATGAACATGTGCACAGTGTAATTTGAACACCTTAGTTAAATTGTAATTATTAAGAAATTGAACTGATCTATTTAAGTGGTGTGGACTCATCAATGACATGACCAGGATATGGAATCAATTGCAGGTTGCTTATAGGCATCAGATTGATCTTTCACGTCATACATATCAGCCACTCTCCTGGTATAAAATGGGGAAGTATGTGGTTGAGGTTTTTTCTATAAAGTAGGGATTTGGTCAGATAGCAGAAAAGTCCTTGACTAGTATTGTAAATCTATCTATCTCCTGCAGCAGAGGTGTTAGTGTTGTTTTTTTAATCTTTTTTTTTTTTCCTACAAGGAAACATGCCTTGCAATTTGTAACATAATACTTTTGTTAGCAGCTTCCATGTTTAAGGTTTAGGTTGTCAAAACTGCTTTCTTGGCAACCCAAATTGAGATAGAAGCAGATTTTACCTGTTTGGTTCTGTCTTATTGGGATCTGTCAAGGTGTGTGATGCTTATGAACACCTGCTCATCTGAAATTAGTGTTTTTAAGATAACACTGCCTGTGACCTTGTAAGCATTAATCAGATGTTCAGACTGTAACAAAACACAGATTTTCATGGTACCAGATAGTATGTTGTCATCAAAACATAGCCCTGCTTTCCTATTGCATGGCACTGCTACAAAGCTGTAAAAATAACAACAAATATTTCATTAATAGTTTTTCATTGTCCGCTGGGAAGACAAACAAGAACTGCAGAACAGCTGTCTTCAGCTGCACCTGAAGCAACAAGAATCGTTAAGTAGAGGGTCTCATTAGTTCACATTCTCAGGCAGGTTTGATTGTAGGTTTTCTGTCTCCTGCTGTTTTCTTAAAGAAAGGGGGGAAAACTGCCTTTGAAGTGACAGGATCAATGAAAAACTTAAATGCGTATGTTTTATTTAAACTAACTGGTGGTATGTAACACTAATATAATGTAAGCTTTTCAGTGAGGAATGCTAGAGAAAGCTAAGGAATAAATAGATTTACCACACGCTGCTTCAGCTGCATTCTCCCTGTGGGCTGTTGTCCATCCAAAAGATGTATAAATTAAGGCATGCTTGAGTCTTTTGTTGGGGAAAAGTGGGGGAGAGGGTCTTTTTAAGGAATGAATAGGAAAATATTTACAACCCTTCCCCTGATGCCGTCCCCCTCATTGCCAAAACAGAAAATCCCATGGTTATGTTAATTACCATCATCAGCTAGATGGTGTTAGGTATGTCTGTCTTATTTTTTTGTAAGTTTTCTTACACGTTATTTTGAGCAAACTGATAGCCAGAAAGCTTAAAGTACTTGATAATAGCCACATCTGTAGACACAGCTTTCTGTGGAGTGTTAGAGATTTAATGTCAATCAAATTTACTGTTTTCTTCTGAAACTTCTGCAACTGAGCAGGTGAATGTTGAGTTTCATGCTCGCTAAGTGTGAGCAATGCATTATGCAGTATCGAAGTTGAGATTGAAAGGCTTGTTTTACCTCTTTTTAACAATTTTTCATGCCACTGAGCTCACATGACTAAAGTAACTTTTTCTTTGTGTCCACAAAGTCCAATCCATGGAATTTTGTGGGTATTTTGTGGGGAGGAAGGGAGTGAAGAATGGGGGGTGTCACGTAGTAATGAAGCAAGGCAAAACTAGTAAAAAAAGGAAAACTTTTCTGGTTTGGTTTTTTGGGGTTTTCTTTTTGTTTTTTTGTTTTTCAGCTGTAGTATTAGTAAGAGTAATAAATTTGGATTTTGTTCTTGTTTGGTTGGGATTTGGGGTTTTTTTTTTTTTTGCTGCTTGGATGAAAAAACAAGTATAATCTTTTTCACAGAGCAGTTTCAAATACTCATTGCTCTGGTCTGGTACACTTGTTAAGCTACTTATGCATGGTGATATGGTGATATATTACTTCATAGTAGGCCACATGTTGAAAGGTGCGTTACCTCAATAGAGTGGCACCCAGGAGGAGTCCTAAATGTAAGTCTGCTTCACGTTTAAATAACGTAGTTTAGTATCAGATTAGTGCTGTGACTTCAGGGGAGATCCAAACTTTCTGTAAGGTTTTGATGCAGTATTTACAACTTCTGGCAGAGGAAATACTGTATGTCTCCTCTCTTTGAAATTCTGACTGAAATTGTAGTGTAGACCATGATTATTGCAGACTTTCAGGAGACTCATCCCTAGTTCTTCAGCTTTCTACCTTTTACAGGAAACACAGTCTACCTTACGGGTTTTTTTGTCCACTTAACTGTAAGTGAAATCCTAAGTTAAGAAGACATTTTGCCACCTACTGTGCTCTGGGCAGGTGGGGGGTAATAATGAAAATACAAGACGAAGAGACCGAGTAGTAAAATCTGAGGAAAGGTTGGAAATGAGCAACAAAGATTTCAGCCAAATTTGTTTTCTTTTCAGACTTGACTTTTCTATCCCCCTTGATGCCCTTTTTTGCTTTATTGCAGAAGCGAAGGGAAGGGGGCTAGTTCTTCACTACTTTATTGCAGACCCACATACTGGGGGCTTTACAGGCACCCAGCAGTGGGGCTAGCACTTTCAGAGCCTAAATCCATTTTTAGCATACCTGGACATGTAATAACATGACTGTTTAGAAACCTTCTGAGATGGTATTTTATTGATACACTTACATATTATGAAAAATGTCTCACTGATACCTAGAAATAAATATACCTAGGACCACCAGTGCAGATGTGAGAATGTTTCTCCTGCTACACATTAGACATAATTTCTAACAAAATGTTGATTCAGATAATTAAAGGCTCTCGGTATGGCTGCTGGTCTCAGACATACAGAAATTTTCTGGGGAAAGAAGAGGTGCTATGATTGTTTCATTTTGATAGTTTTGAAAATTACGCAAAAAGCTACGAGGAAAACAAACTATTTGCAACTGGAGATGATGCCAGAGTATGAGAGAAATTTCATAAAGCAGCTGTCCTTACAGCGATCCTTCGGTTGGGGGCAGGAACAAGACTTTTGGTGCATTAGCTTTGTTTTCACGCTCACAGATCCCACACTGTGGAAATGCTGATGTGTAAATGTCCATTTGTTACTATGGGACCCTTTGGGCAGGAGGGAGACTTCTGCAATGCTGTACTATTCCGCCTTTTATCTCGGGTCATTTTTTTGGTGGCATTGTCCTAGTGTATGGTAAAGGCTACAGCTTCATTTACACAATAGAAATTTACACAGGACAACTAGTATTGATCAAGTCTTACAGCAGAACACGCTGGTGGCAGACTCCTGTCCAGCTCGTTGACACTTCACTCTTCTAGCAATATTTCATGGCAAATAACATGCACCTAAAGCTTCTATCTGCATCTGATGGAGCATAATGGGCATTGCGGTCCCCAGCACCTGTGTGCAGTTATTGAGCTGTGACCTTATTGCATCTTTGAGCTGAGTCTGTAGTGCCACATTGAGACAAAACTCAAGACTGTTTCTTTGTCTCTGCCATTAGGATTTCACTTTGTGAAATGTGTACTGACTCACCAAAGTAATTTAGGCACTTTTAAACTTTAGTTCAACTTTTTCTCTATTTTTATATATTGTTGTCATAGGCATACAGTGGGGCAGGAGGAAATTCTGGTGAAACTTCTGTGCATCCTTTAATGAGGTTTGTTTTGTGTACAGAATGTGTCACGAGTGCTTTTTGTTTCACGGTTGCATAGTGCTGTAGGAGACAGGAGTAAGAGAGCAACAATTCATATGGAGGGCTGGTTTTGAAATAGCTTTTAATTGTTGACTATTCTAGAAAGTATGCATGTACAGATGTACAACTCTCACTTAAATGCTAAGATTATTAGGTGGTAGAAAGATATAAACAATACAGACAATGGGAATACATTTCATAGAACTGTTGCTGCCAGTCAGAATTCAGCTTGGCCTTCATGTTGCCAGGCAGGCTAGTGCCATGTATGAAAAATATATTTATGTTGAGCTCCACTGAAGCATTCCAGTTCTTAAAAACAAACAAAGAAACAAAGAAAAAGAAAACCAAACCCAAACTGTCAGCTTTCTTTTGTAAGCTGGGAATACGAGATATAAGTTAAAAGAATTGGCCACAGTCTCATGTTATTTAGCCGATGGCAGAGGGAGGTTTAGAAACAAAGTCCATCTTACTTAACCTTACTTTTTAACTGTGAGATCATAACCTTGGTGGGAGCCATTGCACAATGTCACATGCAACAAGAGTTGATATTCATATTTGTTGATTCGAAGGGATGTCGCTGCGTACAGCAAGCATGGTTTTGTTATACAAGGTCATTTATGCCATTTGAAGATGCTGTAACATGCCTTTTGTAACAAAATTTCATTTGAGGTTGCAAAAGGTACTTGGAGCAAATTTGTGTGTAATTTTTTGGCCCTGCCTTCTCTTTTTAAACTTTATCTGACCATTACATTTTAAGGAGAGAATTCAGAATTAATATGGAATTACTTGACTGGAGTTGTTTCCAGCTTTACAGCGTATTTGTTGGCAAACCTCTTGTCCCGTCAGTGCTTAAATTCTTAAATGTGAATAGCTCTTTCTCAACTTGAAGACTCTTTTAAGAGAGGGATAGTCTTAAACTAGTCCAAATCATTTGGGTTGTAGACTTGTATTGTGAGCAATGCTAATTTAAGTTCCAGATCGTTTCCTTAGTAGCAAGCACTGTAACTCAAGTCATTTAGGCAGACCAGGACTAGCAGTTGTGCAGGGAAATACCCAAAGAATCACTGGTTGCTTTTGTTGCTGTTTGGTTTTGTTTTACTGTTAGGTTCTCCATCCTTGTTGAAATGAGAAGATAATATAAATGCTACAGCTGCTGGGCTGTGGTAACCTCTTCAGAGCAATTTTATTCCTCATCCTGCTTCAACTTTAGAGGCATCTGAAGTAAACTATCTATCCTGGAACAGGATACAGAGAATGTGGTAAGGGAAGGACAAGTTCTCTACTTCTCCCAGACTGTATGTTACATTAGTTTGTGGACCTCCAGTTACACATTAAGTGTAAAAGGATAAAGTTTGCCATAAATGTCTTCCATTGATATACTGCCCTAAGAATATTTTGTCGATTTTTCTTTGAAGGGAAGGGGAAGGAATGAAAAAGGATGGCATACCTCTCTCAGTACTGAGGCTGGATTCCCGTTTTGAGACTTACTGACTATTCCTCTCATTAGTTGCATTAGCGTAGAAGCAGCGTTCTCACTTCTTGCCTGCTCGTGCATTTAGTTGGTAGGAACAATCAGCTGTTGGGTTTTGCTTGCTGCCAGTCCAGCTGCTCTGTCTCCTGTGAGGCAAAGTAACAGTCCAGATGGAAGCCAGAAATAATAACTGTATTGTGTACACAAAGGATCTTCTGTTTTCTGCTGGATCAGTGTTCATATGATACGATCCATATGACAAACAATATACCTGTACAATCTACTTGGCTGCACTGCAGTGTTCGTGCAGTGGCAAAACAGTTGAGCAGCAGTGTATGGACAGTCTCCGTTGCTTGACAAGAAGACATCCAGAGAAGTTGACACACTGGGGAGGGAATTCATGTTATCAAAGATGTGACGCTCCTTTTTATTGTGTGGCCCCAACAGGAATGAGTCTGGGTTTGGTGTTCTTGGTGGTTGGGGGTTTTTTGGTGGTTTTTTGGTTTTGTTTTTTTTTTTTTTTGTCCATAGCCAACACAGGTGGAAAGGACAATCTGCTCTTTGCTTTCTCTTCTTCTAGGGTTAGGTGAGGTATTCCTGTCATACGTCTGTTTTTGTCAAAACACTGAAACAATGCAGTGGCTTGTTTGCTTTCTTGGTTTGCAGATACTTTTAGATATTTTGTTCATGTTTTAAAGATACAGTAGTTTTTAGTTGCAACTAAAGTACTGTACTGCTGCTTGTAAACAGCTAAATAGTATTATGACTTCTTCAGAAATGAGATAGTGTTAATTTTTACTGTAACTAACTATGTACAAGAATGTTTAAACAGGCAAAATTTAGCTTTCTAATGATCAGATTCTTGAAGAGGTGAAATAGCATATGCATATGTTTTTTGTCTACAGCTTAAAAATCAGAAGCTTATCAAATTGTCATAAGTTTTAGAGTGATTTCCAAATTTTATTGTTGAATATTTTAAACAGTAGCAAAATCAGAAAGAGAGTAAATGCAATGGGGTTTGACTTGTCGGATGTGTGGAAATCATGGTTATTGCAAATACCAAAACCTTTAGAAAGTGTTTTTTGTATTGATGCTGTCGAGAATGCATTAAAGGATGAAAGATATCTGATTAAGAGTATGGAAATTAAAGAAAGTATGTAAAGAGATGGGATGAATGTTTGACCATGTTGGAATCAATAGACATAAGTGTAATTAACTTCAGTAGACCAGAATTTCAGGCTAGGTAAAAGTCCTATTAGTGGAAAACCACTTGCAGACTTTCAAAATGAGAATGCTTTTGAATCTATCTATTCAAATTAATAAATTAAAAATAGCAGAAATGCTGGGGGAGGGAGTCTTCCTTTTTGCATGTAGGAGAGTGGTCAAATCTCTTGGGTCCTGATGTTTCAGGAACTAGCTCCCAAAGTGAACCATGGTTAAGACCAGAGTGCTTGTAGCTAGGTGCTTAACAAAACCACATCTAGCTCCTCATCTTTTGAGAACAGGCTCTTACAGAGGTGCTGCAATTCTTGAGTGTCTTGGAGGTCTCTGGGAAAGAACAGTCTGTCTCAAGAAGCTCACAGTTGAAGGATGGATCCACATTTTTGGAACAAGGAAAATGGCAAATGCTTTTTATTTGTACCATCAAGACTTGTTTTTTTACATCTGGCTATGTGAGGCAACCTTATAGGTCGTTAACAACATTTCTCTGTTTTAGCATGAATAAATCAAGTTTTAGGGTATGCCTGTGCTGCTACAGCAGAGAGATATAAAGATACCTGAGATACCTATAGCAGAGGAATAAGAAAATATCTAAATGACCTTACTTGTATGCTTACATAACAGCTTAGGAGTAGTGGCTTTATGAAACTTTATGCTGATTTACCCTGCATTGTAAATCAGCCCTTATGGAGTCCTGGGCTGTTTTGTACTGCAGCATAGACATGCTCTCAGTTTATTGCTGTTGAGATTATGAGTAGAGCAATAATTACTTCTTCCCATGATAAAAACCTGTTCACAGTTGTCTATCCTACCACCACCGTTTCTGCCTTCTCATCCATAAAGTGATGATGCTTCTAATGAATTAACTCATGCATGGTAAAATATATAACAGGGTGAAAAGGGGGGGGGGGGGGCTATGCTCCTATAATAATGTATTATATCTCTCCCCCCCCTCATTTTACAGACGGCCTCAGTTGCTTTGCTAAAATCTTGCCCAGTGTTTGAGTTCCCTCTTTGTTTTAAGAGGGCTGACAGTTTTGGTTTTGGGGTTGTAGAGTTTTGTTTTTCTAGAACTGTCTTCTGCAATGTGACAGAACACTGTAGTCATCACTAACTTGTCACCCCTGTCAACAGTTTATTGGTCTTGCCCTTACCTTTATTACAGCCCCTTCCTCTTCGTTGTGCTGCTCTTCCTGAACACAAGTCATTCTCTTTCCCCTCCCTGTCCTGCACATCTCTTCCTGTGTCCATCTGTGATGCTCTGTTTTAAACTTAAGCTTTTTTTTTCAGAGGAAGGACTGTCTAGTGCAGTGGAGCCCTAATACATAACTAGGGCTCTGAGGAACTGCAAGAGTACAAATAATAATTAAAACACTAATTCTGATATTTTACAGCTCTCCACAAGGCAAATAATGAAGTGACTGCAGTTAAAAAGCAGTCTGAAGGCCTTAAAAGAGAATATGATAATCTGATGAAAGAATATGAATGGCTTCAGGTAGGTGGTTCTGGATCGCTATATGAGCACAATGTTCTGAAATTGTACCAGCAAAATTCTGCTTGTTGGGTATGTATTATGCAAGAGAATTTACCAAAATCTTTAGTATAGCATAAAGTTACAATGGGCAGCACTCTTTAAACTTCGAAGGCCTTAAAAGAGAATATGATAATCTGATGAAAGAATATGAATGGCTTCAGGTAGGTGGTTCTGGATCGCTATATGAGCACAATGTTCTGAAATTGTACCAGCAAAATTCTGCTTGTTGGGTATGTATTATGCAAGAGAATTTACCAAAATCTTTAGTATAGCATAAAGTTACAATGGGCAGCACTCTTTCAACTTCATCAAAGTAGTAGAATTTTGTTTTTCAAGGACTGGACAGCAAAGCTATTAGCATCTTCTTTTTTTGCACATCAGGTGACAAAGCTCAGGTCATCAATAGACTCAATTTTGCTGTCACTTGGGAAAGAAGATTCAGTAGTTTTGCCTGTGATGATCAAACTGAAATCTTGGAAGAAAATTACAGGAGTAGTGTGTGTGTGTGCTATATACATCAATTATAAGAGTAATTTTATTTTATTTGCTCTTTAAACATGCTTTTGCAATACTGGATTATAAATGTTGCAATCGTGTTGATACGCAAGAACAAAAAAAAAACAGTAACAAGAAACAGCCTAGGCTAGAAACAGGCTACTCTAAAAATTCAAACTGAAGTACAAACCAAAAAAAGAAACATAGCAAGCAAAAGCTGAATTAGCATTTTGACTGGGTTTGCATATGTGCATGGCTATAATACGCATAATATATACAGTAATTATTTCTGGTAGAACTGGGAGCTCTGCTTGTTTTTTAAGTTGTCTGACAGATGTTTGTATGTTCCATGCCTAATATCTGCCTCAGAATTCCACCAAAATTCAATAAAAATGAAAGTTAGCCTGTTTACAAGTAATGGTCTTGGGAGAAAATAAATGATTGATGTTAAAATTATGGTGACCTGCTTTTCAAGAAGAGTTGTTTGTTGGTCCTGTATTAATAAAGTAAAAAAAAAAAAAAGGCAAATTTGAGCTGGTTATAATCTTTTTCCTGTACTCTCTGAAGCTGCTTACTGATTCACAGCCTCACCTTACACTCTTACAGAGATTGCTCAGCTGATCTGTGTTCGAATTAAGACCACCATGCATGTCCTGTCTTCGTTGTGCTTCCCTGTGTAATGAGCTGTAGTAGTCCTGCTGCATTTCTAACAGTCTTGTGGTCCAGACCACACATCCTTACAGTTTTCTGTGTTTACCTATGAATGCAAAGAACAGAAGGTACTGAGCACACAGTAGATGCAGCTCCTAAGGATAAACCAGCTGATAGCAGACAACATTTTCTGCTGAGTTTGCACAGTTCAGCTGTAACATGAACAGGGAGCAAAAGGCGGCTGCGTGGCTGTTACTGTACTAGGATCAGAAGTGCACGTGTTATGTGGGGTAGTATTGGTGGGACTACAACTTTGAAGGGTGTATGGTGAACAAATCAGGTATGACTGCAAGGGGGCAAAATGTGGCATCTGGAGTCAATGGTTTCTGATCTTGCCAAACATAAAAAACTATTTTTAATCTCTTTTCAGGACAGTTTAAATGAAGCAGAAGACAAGAAAGACCTGTAGGTGCATCTAAGACAGATGGCATCAGTACAGTTGCTTCAACGTGAAAAGCCTTGTGCTGTCTAGGTTCCTGATGCATATCTGAAACAAAAGGTGATTTTTCTGAAGAGCACACGCACTGCGGGTCATTATTCAGATGCCTCTAATATATCTTGGTTGCCAAAATATTCTGTGTTGCAAATAAAATGTTAAGTGGCTTACCCAATTTACCATGGAATTTGTTACTGCTGTTGTGAGGAGAAATCTTTCAATTCCATCTGGAGCAACTTGACAGTTCTCCAAGCTTTTGCCTTCCAGAATGGTAACAGATCATGCACTGTTAGCTTGTAGCATTTGAGCAAGGTTGTATATCATGCTATACCATAAAAACACAATTACCTAAACCTCCTTTGCAACACCTGTTTGGAGTCTTCAAAAATTCAGTTACCAGTGGGGTGAAGAAGGCTGAAAGCTTTTCATCAGCCATTCCACTTCAGTGGAAAACTGAATGACAATCAATCTAAGGAAAATAAATAAAGAAGGAAACTGCATTTCTAAATCCATCTGGCTAGCTTGTGACTTTCATTTAGCCACGTGGATGAGTGTATTTTAACAAATAATATTTTGCGTGCCTCTGGCTTATTTTTCTTTAATATATTGGATTATTTCAGTTTTCATAACCAAAGTTTTGGGTTGGTTGGTATTAACAGTCTGTATTTTTACACTGTTCACATCTGTTTACTCTGTATGTGCCACCTAACTACTTTTGCCTTGCTAAGTAAAAATTCTTTTTAAATGTAGATAGTTGGGTTTGTTTTGTTTTGTTTTCATGGATACGATACCTCGAATAAATGTGCACTGTTTTGCATAAGCCCTTTTTGGCATTCAGAAAGTTGTTTTGAGTTTTTTTTGTTAGTTGGTTCCAGTTTATATTTGAAAGTGGGATATGTTTGTTATATCAAAGGGATTGTTTAAGTTCATGATTTTCGGGGTTTATTTGTGTAAATCTCTCCCAGTATACTCTCGTCAAAGTTAATAGGTATATACACAAAGAACAAAATACACTTCTAACTTGGTGATATTTAACTTTTCCTGGAAATATAGCCTTCTTCATAGGGGTAGTTTTGATTGCTCTGGAAATAGGCTTTGTTTACCCTGGAATTTAAACATAGCGTATTAAGTACTATAAAGCATATTAACATAGCGTATTAAGTAAGAATGCATATGTTTTTAAAAAATACTTCATCCTTGCTCAAGTAGTACAGAATGTGTTCTCAGAGATTCTACGACACTGGAGATTTGTTTATTCATATCAAAACTTTCAGGAAAAGCTACAGATTTTAAGACCCGCATACACACAGGTTTTAGTGATGTAGTTGAATGCTTTTTTTTCCCCCCTGCCCCCCTTCTGAAATATTTAAAATTATGGTAGAATGTTATCTCCAGTCTGATCTAAAGACTATGGTGGAAGCCTTAGAGGTATAACAGTAAGTGCTGTTTTTAATTACAGGACTAAAATATCACCTGTTTTTCTTACTTTAAGACCCAGAACAAAAGCAAATATTACTTACTGTTTACCATTGTTATCTACTCATTAAATTTCTGGTATTTCTTCCTATAGTACAAGTAAATAATTAGGTAGATAATTAGCAACTTACAATGAAAGATGTCATGCACTGGACTCTTCATCCCTAAAAATTTATCTTAGAAAAAATAACATGGAACAAAAAATGTGTAGTTGTGAATGCACTGATAGTATCAGTACTTCTCCTTGAGAAGGAAGTCCGAATGCTTTACAGTAATTTTTGCTGTAGAGCGTGACTGAAGTGTGCAGGAGTGCATAGTGGTATGTACTGCTCCCTCAGAAGCTGAAATGATGCCTGGTATTTTTAAACATGCAACATTCATTCAACGCGTGGTAATCGCACACTGCCCTCTGTAATTACGGCAGTCACCTCAGCCTAGCAGTGTCCTGCTGGCTGCTTGGAAGATGGGGATCCACTGGCTTGGAGATCGAGGAGACAACAGCTTAAAACACAACAAAAACCCCTGCATATCAGGCCACAGAGAATGTTTCCTTAATTAAAAATTAGAGATTGCTTAAAACCCACAGAGTTTGTGCTTTGCCTCCAGTCATTTCTTCTGTCATGTCTGTTCTTTGTATCACTTACCAGATCCCCGTCACAGAGTAGAATATGACCATCACCATTCTCCTACTGTCTGTTGTGGATTATCACACATTTGACTGAGTTGTGTTACCCCATGCTCAGCTCTTTGGAGTCCCAGATTTGTTCACATGAAAATAATCTTTTTGTTACTCAGATTGAAAATATTTTGTAATACCTGCTTTGTAGAACTATATTCTTGGAAAGAACATGTTTCTTTTTTAAAATTAGAAGTCTAAATAGTATATCTAGACATTCCAGTAGATGGCAAGTCTTTCAGAGTATTTTGCATTTGCATTGTTTCACAATACTTTATATGTGTTCAGAGCCTGCAGGAGTCTGGGTTGATCAACTTTAAGTACAGTTTTCTCGTTGGTAATGTTTTAAGCTATGGTTGATACACAGGGAAAGAATGAATCAAAATTTCATGTTTCTAACTCCTGATCTTTCAGGCTGTTGGGTCGCATTTTGGTCATGTTTGCCTGTTTTGTAGGAAAGAGCTGAAGAAAAAGTTAAATCTTCACTAATACTAATGGAATCAAAATTACTTCTGTACTCATGTTTGACAGTTGATTTAATTCTGGGTATGTCTCCAGAAGTAAGAATTCAGAGCTCTTTCTACTCTAAATAATGTCAAAGTAATTGTCTCGTCGTTTTGGAGCTTTTTCCCCCTTTACAAAAGTAGGAATGTGCATTTTCAGTACTTTCGTGGAGAAGCATAGGAGAGAGTATTAATTCTAAAAATATTTGCACGGGTTTAACTGATAGTAGCTTTCAAAAAAAATTGAGATGTGTTTTCATAGGGTTTTTTTTTTTTTTTCATAAACCCCTTTTTCTGTGGAGTCAAGAAAGCAGTGAGGTCATGGTGGGTGCGTGAGAACTGACCTGAATATTAATAGACCTAACTACATGCTTCGGTGTTTCCTTAAATGAAAGCACCTTTAGCTAAGCAGGATGTTTTTTCCCTTTTTCTATTTTTGCAACAAACATATCTTCTTTAATAACATAAATTGTGCACAGTCTTTTCTGAAAATGTACTCTTGTGGTAGCACTACCTGTATTTGCTGCCACAGCAGTCCCTAGCTACGTAGCCTCATTGAAGACACTGTGCTTTCCTAGCTTGTTTTGAAGGGTGAAAGCTGTGGTTTTTACTCAGCATTTAAGGTTTTTTTTCCAAATGTGAAGTTATTGTAGAAGTATGACACGACTGCCTCAGTTCTCGAGTGTTCCTTGAAATGCTGAATTTACTTTGTAAGCTCTTTGGGACAGAAACCCTCATTTTGCCTTGCCTTTGGACAGTGCTCATTCCAGTGGCAACTGTAATATGGGTCCCAATGGAACCTGATACAAATCATTTTACAGATAGGGTTAAGTTGGAAAATCAGCTCTCAGTTATGTCTTTCCAATCCTCCAGCACTCTGTGCTGAATATTGCTGTGTACATAAATTGTGTAAGGTCTAAAAACAGTTCTGGAACTGAGCCTCCCCAGTTCAGGAATAATGTGGAATATTTTATTTTCTATGATAAAATGTAATACTTGTGTTTCACTCTTGAGGCAATGTGCAAATAGGGACAGGCATTGCAAGGTGTCTTTGTGAGGAAAACAAGACAGTCCCTCTAGTTTTGTGTCCTTCACTCTGAAATACAATTGTGGTCCATAGCAAATTCCTATTATCATCCGCAAGTGCAAGTCTGCCCTTAAATGTTGCTATTCTGTCTCCAGCTTTGGGAGAGCTGAGTGGAAGAGGGAGCAGGCTACATTCCTATAGACCAGGACTATATACGCTAGAGGGTTCCCTTCTGAACTCTACCGAGGCGGTCTTCAGTCCACACCAACACAACCAAGTCTGGGATGTTCAGATTCCCAAACATGCTTGGGTGCAGCAGGGTTTAGCGAGTGGGAGCCTACCCCCTATGTTTAGTGTCTAGGGGAAGTTAGATACTAGCACTAGCACGTCCATTGGAAGTGAGGAGATACCAAAGCCAGCTACTAAGGAAAATGAAAATGGGAAGCATCTCTCAAAACTCACTTGTCTGGAAATCAGATACCAATTGCAGCTGTGATAAAAGCATGTCTGCAAGACTTGCAGGTTAACTGCAATGACTATTTAAGTCATAGCTTAAATTCTTTCCTTTATTCTGCTGCCTGAGATCAGACTGTCTGTGTAGTCTGATTGGATTTACTCTTCTCTCTGAAAACACAGCCAGAAGAGGCAGTAGTTTTAGTGATAATTGTGTTTTGAGAGGTAGCTTAATAGCTGCTCACCTAGAAAGTGAGACCATGTTCTACATCTTCCTTAGACTGAGGTTGAAACCCATATTCCTGTGACTATGGGAGAAGAAACTACGTTGGCTGGGAAGGTGCTAAACTACTCCTTGCCTTTTGAGTTTAAGACACGGTACAGAAAAGAGACAATGTGAGAGGAAGGAAGGGAGGGACTGTTATTTTTGGCCAGTAAGGACAAAATCTTAGGCTTTGATGCTTCTCCAGGCATGACTCAGGCATTTAGAGTTAAGGACTCAGGAATAGAGCATACAGTGATACTGTAAGCAGGGACTTGGAAACAGGCTGTGTATCCATCCTAGGCTGTTTATCTCATACCAAGTACAAAATGAACATGATCTAAGTAGGAAATAGTAACAAATAATAAGGTGAACAAAAGGATTTAGAAGACTGGTGTAGATTTCAAGCTAACAAAACAAGAAAAAAAGCCTGCCTTCTAGCTTGAAGGGCTAGTGTTCCAGGGAAAGGGGATGCTACGCAGGGTAGCATCCTGAGTGGGGTCAGCAACATCGCAGTTTAGAAACTTGTTGCTTCTGATTTCACACAGATCTGTCTCTGTGGATAGGATCCATTCTGAGCTAGGGTTTGCATTCTTTATCCTCTTCCTCAAATAATTTTCTTTTCAAATACTGGTAAGTGCATTGTGTTACACGGAGCTTTTTTCTTGAAACCTCTTGTCCTCAAACATGCATACTTCTGTCCTGCCAATATGCGCAGTCCTACAGAGTTCCCATCTGTACATCATCTGATGATGATCCTACAGCATCTCATCACCTGTGAGATGCTGAACCTCAGAGTTCAATTCAGCCAGACGCGGGCTGCAGGAGACGAATTTGCAAGGACTGTGAGTTACAGTCAATTCAAATTCTTCTGACTGTGGTCTTCCTGTGTTAATTGCCATGTTCAGTATGACTTTTTTTTTTCTTCTTGATATCATCCAGTTCTCTTATAAAACCATAGCTATATGAATAATAAGATAATAGTTTTGTGGGAATTCTAGGAGAGAAGAATACATAGCATCGAGTCCTGAAAATTGATTTTATGTTCTATGTTTTAAATGCAGGGCATCTATGTTGGGTTCCTGCAAATGTTTTTGCTGCTAGTATTTTTTGCTTTAATTTTTAGCCTAGAAGCCATTATACCTTCTGGAGTCATTTCATTGTCTTTGCGTTAATTTTAGAACCTAAGAAGATGTTACCACAACAGCTTTTTAAAGTTAGATTTCAAAACTACTTTTCAGGCTACTCCATTTTTATCAGGAGTGGATTCTAACTCAGTAGATTACTTGGTTTTTGATGCCAGCTCAGTTTTCTGTATGTGCTTTAGTATATGTCTAACTGAATCAAGCTACTATTCTGTTCTCCAACATTAATTCCATTTCCCTGTAGTATTATCTGCTAGCAAAAAACTCTGAAAGCTTTCCCACTCTGGAGTGAGTAACGTGTACGTAAGACCACTTTCCTTATAACACAAAGTCCTATCACTAGACATTAACTGTTAGCTTTTCCTCACTCCAGTGCCGTGCTACAAA